AGAACTCGACCACATTCATTGAATTTGAACCGTACAATACAAATATAAGCGCAGGTAAAGTGTAAAATCCCCCTAATCTTTTTGGGGTCACTATTGATAGTGATGGTCAATTAAAGACACTAATCAAATGTACTATCATCATGAAAGCTTATGTTAAGATATTATTTTAATTTTATAAACTTCCAAATGTCCTAATATACTTTAATCATGAAAACTTATGGTTATATATATTATTTCACATTATTTCAAATTTTAGCATTAGATTATAATGAAATAAAGTTGCCAAGCGAACTCGAACTCTAGCCTAGCTTATGTTTGTATTATATAAGCTCGATTGTTTGACGAGCCGTTAGAAGTTATGCGTAATTACCTAAACATCACTAACTTAAGTTAAATTCGACCTATGAATAAGGTAATGTTTAATCTCGAGCATTTGTATAACTTAGTTTAAACATATGGCCATCAATTCTGCTAAATCCACATGACAATTTTGAATTAATATTAGCGAAAGCGTGAACGAAAGGGAAAAGATACAATACGAGATACTCTCTCGAACTTGGGATACTCTCCCGAAAGAACACGATTAATTTTTCATTCTCAAATTCAACTCCAATAACAAATCATAGTTGCCCTTTAAATAAACTTGTAACTCTAAGCTCAGCTTATTTCCTAAGTTACTACTAATTATTAAATAATAATAATAATAATAATAATAATAATAATAATAATAATAATAATAATAATAATAATAATAATAATATTTCTTCTGCATCATTCAACTAAATGCCTATTAGATTGGACTGCTTTTCTTTTTTACTTTAACACAAAGTTCTCACCTTTTCATCTTTCTTCATAAAAGTTAAACCTAAAAAATTGGTGTTCAGAAAAAATAAGAAATAAAAAATAAAAATGGAAGAATCCATGGATTATATATATCTAGGCTATGTTTAGTAAAACTAGTCGATAAGCTAGCTGATAACTGATAAGCTAGTTTATAGCTTATTAGTAATTTTCGAACTTATAGCTTATAGTTTATGACCTATAACTGAAAAGCTAACTTATATGATAAAAGTATTTAGCAAAATTAGTTGATAAGCTAGCTGAAATAAAAATTTCAACGAGCTTATTTGGAAAGCTACCAAATGAAACTTATCAAATAAGCTCGTCTTACCGAACGGAACTTATTTAAATACATGGAAGCTAGCATATTGGTTTACCAAACATAGCCTAGATACCTTGAACACATCCACTTCATGGGATAATCATAATTCAATTAATAGTTTTATGCGGTCTTTTATAGCCCTTAAAATTAATATTTCCATATATTAACACAACAATACTTAAACAATTTTATATTTGCAACATAAATAAATCAATTAAATTAACATATCATATTACAAAAAATGAGTTTTATCAATACAAGACCCCAAAGATGGGTAAACTATCAATGTGGGGTCTAAAAGATTTTTTTTCTCAATTCGGACTTAAATGTTATAGAATTATCAAATTAAAGACCCGAAAGATGGGTAAACTATCAATGCGGGGCTTCAAAAGATTTTTTTCTCAATTCGGGACTTAAATGTTATAAAACTATCAAATTAAATCTATAATTAACGAAACTCATAACACCACTAAATTTAGAGTTTTAAAAAAAATTATTGGTGTTACTCACATAAAATAATAAGTAAACATTTGCATAATATAAAAAAAAAATGGACGATAGCAAGAAAAACGAGCAAGAGCTTCATATTTTCCTTAATTTTCTCCAACAATCTCGTATTTTCCTTAATTTTCTTCATTTTCTTTTTTTTTTTCTTTTTCTTTTTTTATTTTGTAACAAATTTGGTGTTTTAAAACTTCAAATTATCTCTCAATTTAATGGTGTTATGAGTTTTGTTAGTTCTAGAACTTAATTTGATAGGTTTATAATACTTAAGTCCCGAATTGAGAAAAAAATCTTTTGGGCCCCGCATTGATAGTTTACCCATCTTTCGGGTCTTTAATTTAATAGTTTTATAAAATTCAAGTCCCGAATTGAAAAAAAAAANNNNAAAAAAAAAAAACAAATCTTTCAAGCCCTAAATTGATAGTTTAACTATTTTTCAGTCCTTGTATTGAAAAATTTATAAAAAAAACAAAAATAAAAAATAAAACATAAAAAGTTAAACATTTTATATAAAATAAGTATGTATATTATTAAAAATTATTGTGTAACTATTAGATCGACTGACACAAATATTCATGTATTTTGTCAACGTTTGTTTTCATTAATTTTGCATATCTTTCCTTGATATATATAGTCCGCAGGTGCATAATTTAAGCATCAAAATGGACATGGCGATGAACCATAGAATGATTTCTGGGCCCATTTTGTCTCTTTCAAAGGATACGTATATTATTTAATCTGGTTTTCATTTGAATCCGTGTGCGGTTTTAGTATACAGCTGAAAAAAAAAAATTAAATAAAATAAAATAAAATGTTTTTAAATTCGTATTTCAATATATATTTTGTTTAATTGAATAAATAATGATATATTTGATTATGATATTAATTATTTACGTGTAATTCATTAAATAAAATTGAATGTTAAACATGATATAATTTGGATACTTAATTGTTTTTTATTGTTTTATTTTATCGTATAATTTAGTTTGAATTGAATTGTGATTAGATATATTTCCTTTAGTTTGAATTGAATTGTGATTAGATATATTTCCTTTAAAAAAAAAAAAGAAAAAAGAAATTACTATTCGTTCATTCTAACTTTTTTTTTTTGTCAATATTATTAATGCAATTAAATAAAAAAAAAAAGCTATTGTTACTACATAATAATATTTAAATAAAAATAACAATCCATCCAATTACATATTTAACTGATAATTATTTACATCATTACTTTATTATCTTCCTATTACATCAATTTAACAATTATATTTTTATATCACGTTCATTCACAATCTCCAAATTATTTTATTTACCCACTATATAATTTTTCCATTCTTAAAACTCACTTTTTTTCCTGAATTTTTTTTTTTAATCAAAATAATATATATCTAATAGTACCTATAGATGTTGTTAGCGAATTATGCCAGTTGGTTTCGTCACGAATTCATTGATTGATTATAGTTTGATTGTATAAAAATGTTTGATAATTAATCAATTAACAATAAACATTTTGGTATAAAATGACTACTTCAAAGAATAAATTTATTGTCCCTATAATAATCAAACAATCTAAATAAGTAAATATTCAAGAATTAAAAAATTAATGTCAAAATTAATGTAAAAAAATTCTCGTTTTCTCCGGCCGACTGGGGTTTGCAGTTTCTGGTTTGTGTTGGGGGTGGAGTTAAGCGTGTGTCTCTGTACGGTTCGGTTAAATTTTGACCTTTTTTTTTAAATTAGCATTTCGAGTCGTAAAAATTAATCAAATAATCTCGTTATCAAACGAAATAACGAGTCGATCGCATTTGATCTGTCAAATTTCTAAATAAAGTTCAATTCGCTAATAAAGTCGAATAATATTGGTAGTTTGATTATACACCATGATGGGATGCCATCACTGTAAAAGTTATATGAAAATTATTATGTGATGAAAATTAAGCTCCTTTTCATAGCACACAAAAGATATTTAATTTTGTTTGGTTTATAATCGAGTGTACAGAGGTTTCCATGATCAAATGGTACGATCCAAGAAAATTTTTAAGGATTTGACTTTTGCAGCCGTCGAGGCCACTTTTACGGTTTTGCTATGGAGCCAACAGTTGGTTCCATAGTAGAACCAACCTTCTATATACAATAAGTAAACCTACCATATTCTCTAATTACTTAAATAATGTTAATATGATTTTATTAATATAATAGGTTTATTTGTTGTATATAGAAGGTTGACTCCACTATGGAGCCAACCGTTGGCTTCATAGCAAAGCGACCACTTTTAATGTAATAGATTGAATTTATAACTTAGATGTATTTATAATCATTAATTGAATAACATCACTGAGTAAATTAATGTGCAGGTTTTGATATTCTTAATCCCATTTATAGCCTTGGTCTATATAGCAAGGATGACGTCATTTAGAGACTAAGTATAGATAAGGTCCTGTTATGGAACTATTTTGCCGGGGTTTATAATCGTCGCGAATAGTTGATCTAACAGTTACAAATCCCGACGGAATGATTCCGTAACAGAATCGTAGCATCTCCCGTAAGTATTATGGTTATGCGGTTAAATTTTATTAATAAATATGCATATTTGAATATAAAGATATATTATTAGGCATTTTTATTAAAAAAAAAAACATGATGGTTAATTTGTTTGACATTCAAGTTGCCTCGTAAAAAAATTTATGAAATGAGAGAAAAACAATGGTATGTGTTTGCTAGAATT